TGATTTTTTTCATATTCATTTGGGTGTATTTTTTAAAAGAATATAGCGAAGCCTTATCCAAGTTCATTGAGTTTAAGAACTCTATGAAAAAAGAATTTGGATGAAAGATAAAATATTTGAGAAGTGATAATGGTGGTGAGTACATATCAGATGAATTTTTTAAATATTGCAATGACAATAACATTCAACTCCAAATGATGTGTCCAGAAACCCCTCAACAAAATGGAGTTGCTGAATGTAAATTCGCTCACCTTTGTGCAACCAGTTTGTCATGGCTACACAACAAGAAAACTTCTTTGAGAGCTATGGGTAGAAGCTATTCAATGTGCATGTCATATGATAAATCGATTACCTTCATGTCCATGTTGAAAAAAGTCTCCTTTTGAGCAATTGTATGAGATAAAGCCAAATGTAAATTATTTTCATGTATTTGGATCCATTTGTTATATTTATGTTCCTAAACAAAATCAAACTAAACTTGATCCGAGAGCAAAAATATGTGTATTTGTGGGCTATGAATTATACAGGAAAGGGTAGAGGTGTGTGGATCTAGAGACAAAGAAATTCACCACTTCAAGAGATGTTGTGGTCAATGAGGAATCATGTTCTTGTTTCACCTCAAAACTCACTAACAAAGGTGTTATCCTTGATGATGATGATATAAAGAACTTGGAGCCATTCTCTAAGCCAAATGTGCAAGCTTCAAATGATAATGGTTTTGAACATGAAAGAAATAAAGCTCATTTGCCATCTAGATTAGAAAACATAGATTCAGTAGGTGGTGAACATGTTACAAGAATATCAACAAAGGAAATAAGATAGCCAGATCATCTTAAAAATTATAAAGTATAACTAAACTATTGTTCAGTTACTGCATGTTTCTTTTCAAAAATGTTAGATAAATAACCAACATGTTATAATGAAGCTAAAGGATGTCCTGAATGGGAAAAAGTAATGCAAGAAGAAATTGAAGCCTTGGAAATGAATGCAACTTAGGAGCATGTACCCAAACCAAAGAATCATGAACTAGTAACTTGCAAATGGGTTTATCGATTGAAAAAGAAACCAAATGGAATGATTGAGAGACATAAGGCTCAACTTTTTACTCATAGATTCTTTCAAAGTTATGGTTTGGACTATGAAGAGAATTTTAGTCCAGTTGCAAAGATGGTGACTATGAGATCAATTATTTCGCTTGCTGCATTTAAAGGTTGGAAGTTGTGGCGACTTGATGTAAAAATTGCATTTCTCTACAGAGAGCTAAACTGTGATGTTTTCATGAAACAACTTGAAGGTTTCATTTCTAAGCACTTTCCTTATCATGTTTATTGGTTGAAAAAGGCATTGTATGGCTTGAAACAAGCGCGACGACCTTGGTATGGTAAGATTGCTCAATATCTTACCTTTTGTGGTTTTAAAGTTTTAGACTCAGATTTTAGTTTATTTGTTAAATTAGAATCGAATATGCATGTGCTGGTTTTGTTATATATGAATGACATGATAATTAGTGGGGACAATGAAGTTAAAATTTCTTATTGAAGAGATGATCTTTTAACTCATTTTGAAATAAAAATTTTAGGTGATGGTGGATGCTTTTTTGGTCTTGAAGTTGAAAAATCAAACCAAGGATATTTTGTGGCTTAAAGAAGCTATGCTAGGAGCATTTTAGAGCATTTTAGTATAGGGGAGTCAAAACCAATTACTACACCCATGGTGCCATATTTGAAGTTGATGAAAGAGAAAGGAAAGTTGTTAATAGATTTAAGAAAATTATAACAACTTATTGGAAGCTTGATTTATTTAACCATTACAAGACCTAATATTACATATTTTGTTGGTGTTATATCTCAATTTATGCAAGATCCTAAAGTTCTTCATTTAGTTGTTGCTAAAAGAATCCTATGCTATGACAAAAGAACTCTTTCTTATGGTCATATGTACAAGAAAATTGGAGAATTTCTCTTGAATGGCTATACTGATGCAGATTGGGCTGAAAATGTTAATGATCATCGATCAACCTCTGACTATTGCTTTAATGTTGGTTCAGCTACAATTTCCTAGTGTAGCAAAAAGCAATCAACAATTGCTTTATCAAGCATTAAAGTAGAATATATAGCAGCAACCATGGCTACACAAGAGTGTTTGGCTTAAAAGTCTAGTGGGAAATATTTTTTTTGAAGCTGACTACGCAATGTAGATTTATTGTGATAATGAATGTGTTATCAAACTTGCTTCAAATCCTATATTTCATGCAAGGACAAAGCATATTGAAGTTCATCATCACTTTGTTATAGAAAAAATGTTAAGCCAAGAGATAGAGAATAAAGATGTTGGAACAAATGAGCAAGTTACAGATATTTTTACAAAGGCTCTAGCAAAGTCAAAGTTTGAAATCTTTCAAGCTGCACTTGGAGTTTTTGATAATAAACATGCATTAAGGGGGAGTGTTAAAAATTAATGCATGTTACTAGACCTTATTTTATTATTATGTTATTTCAATAATCTTCCAAACTAAGTCAAGAGTCCTAAAGTGTTTTTAGGCCAGTTTTTGTAATGTTTTTTTCTTTACCATTGGATTTTGTTAGTTTGTTGAATATTCTTAGAAAGTAGAGTCTTATTAAGAGTTAATTGGTTAGTTTTATTTTGATCAATGCAGCTTCATAATGTTGGAATGTGAAGTCTATATATATTTATTCCAAAGTGTAATCTACAGGTCACTTAATTCACGAAGAATAATAACATTCCTTTTTAGCAGCTTTTTGTTGGCTCTGTAACTTTCTTCTTTGTTTTTTTTTTTATATATATCAAATCCTTTATTCCTATAATTCTATTTTTAAAATTGATATGGTCAAATTCCATCATCTTTTGCCTTAGACATAACCCACAGTTAACAAGAAAGAAGAAAAGACAAAACATAATAAAAAAATAAAATATTTTATAAAATATTGGTCCATTTTCTTCACTTAATATTTTTTACTTTAAATTTATATAATACATGTGGTTGAATAAAATCGAGCCAAGTCTAGCTAATTTTACATCTTTGAAACTCAAGTTTGGGCTTGACACATTGATTTTAGTTAGTTTTATTATTTAAAATATTTTTATATTTTAAAATTAAAATATACTATTTATTAATATAAAATGTTGAAGAATGATAGGGACAGTCATCCCATCAACTGCGTTCAAATACTCGAGATTTTTAAAAGCCATGTCTTTTGATTTTTGCAACACAAAACCAGTAACTTAAGGATTCGTTTGGTATTGTTACGTGTTTTACAATTTATGTTTTTGAAATTTATGTTTTATTTTATTTTTGTTTTGTTTTTAGTTTATTGAATTTAAAAATATATTTGGATACAATGCTTTTGTTGTAAAAATGTGAAAATAAAAACATGTAAAAGGAAACACTTAAAATTTTGACATCTTCAAGGGAAGAGGTTTGATTCTAGCCTAATGCAAAATTGCTAAACTGTAACAGGACTATAGTGGTATTAACTATAACAATACTATAGTGCTATTATAGCTGAATAGGTAAATAGTATCCGTGCGGTAATAGTATAAAATTATTTTCAAAATTTTGAAGATATCATTTTTCTATTTTTAATAATTTTTAATATTTTATTTTCAATTTTTAAAAATAAAAAATAAAATAACTTACTAAACATATTTTTATTTCTAATTTTTATAAAATCTAAAAACGAAAATGAAAAACAAACCAGAACGATCTCTGAGTAATGCAAAATGAATGGTTTCATGTGCAATCAGAATGGCTCAAAAGTCTGTGTCAGAAATAAAGGACAAAACATGCCCTTTTATTTTAATATTTTTAAATGTTAACTATTTTATCTTTCATAATTCCTCTAATAAAAATTAATAATAAAAAACGATGAAACGACAGATTAGTGTAAGGATTTTATAACTTATAATTACTTTTATTTCTTGCAGCTAAAACTTGTACAAGAAGTTTGAAACATGAAAAGATTTTTAAGGTGTGGTTTTATGCTATGGTTTTTATTTATAACAATATAATTACTTTTATCATTGGCAGATTTATTTTTAGATTTAGAGTATTTATTAAAAAATGAAATTTTAAAAAAAATTAGCACTCTCAATTTTTGTTTTACAAATAATTCAAATATTTAAAAATAAAAAAAATTTGAAAAATGAATTTCTCTGATCACATCCAACATTCATCAACAGAACACTTTAGAATCCGTCACTAACTTTTATTAATTTAATAAATTTTATTTATAAAACAACTTCAAACAATTTTTCAATGAGTATTATTTTTGTAAAGTTAGCCTCTTCATTATAATGAGAACTTCCCTAAAGTTAATACACCTGATCATTGGAAATATTTTAAAATGAAGTGCTAGTAAAAGAATTTCAGGGATGCATCAATTAGAATTTTTTTTCATTTTTATGTTACTTATTTATTTCACTACAATTCAATATAATTTTTTATTATTAAAATTTTTGAATATATGTGGAAAATTTTTGTAATATAATAAGGGCATGTTTTTAATTTTTTGATGGCATGAAAAAATTTTATATATATTTCGATGATTGCTTTTTATATACAATTGATTGAAATAATTTTTTCTGAATTTTCAATTTTAATTTAATGAGTTTCTTTTTTTTTAATTTTGGACTTTGGTTGAGTTTGCTTAATTTTTTTTAATTTATTTAATGGAATATGCTGGAAATTTGAATAGATAAAAAATGTTTTTCAACAATTAAAAAGAAAAGTGATAGCATTATATTCAATTTTCTATGTCATAAATTGTTTTTTTTTTAATTGAGATCAAATTTCTTATAAAAATAAATTAAAATATTTTATAAAAAAAAGTAATGATTTTATATTTTTAAAAGATCTAATCCATATAGCATAAGGGTACTTTAGTCTTTATGAAAATACTTGAGATTCTATGGTACAATAAGAATTGACTACATAAAACTGATACTTCTGTAGCGGATAATAGATTTATAGTTTTTGACATTTTTGAGTGTTTTAAGACGGTTGTAGGATCGGATTTAGGCCTAAGAAATCATGTTTAGGGCTTGGATTGAATGAAGCTAGGCATATGGGCTTATCAAATAGCTCAGCCTGTGAACACCGATTAAACCAGAATCAGTCCGATCCGTTCTTTTATTTATTGCCTAAATTCTTCAAGCATAACCGTATTGAAACCTAAATTTATCAATTAATATTCTAATTTTCCATTTTCCCTTCTGTATTGTCTTATTATTATTTGTGCTTCCACCTCTCTCAGTTTCCGAGGAAAAAGAAATAAAGGTTCCTGTAAAATAGAAAAAAATAATAATAATAATAACAGAAACAGGGAGGAGAAGAGGAAAGCCTATTCTGGCCGTAGGATTACTCGTCGTCAACGGCTCTGATTTCCTTATTTTTTCTCAGATCCCTCCTCCCTTCATCTTTCTTCTCACCTCATCTGGTCGTAAGTTCTCGTCTGTGTCTCTTCCACAGCGCTTAATTTATCCTCAATATTCGTCTTTAACTGTCTGCTTCTTTCTGGATAGATCCATATTTTCATTAATCGGATCGGATCGGTTCGGTCTATTTGTTTATGTTGATGCTTCAAGTAAAATATTCATTGTTCTTTTCATGAACACGAGAGAAATATGATGCATTTTTTCTTTATTTTTACTTTTATTCTTGGAGGAATGCTGTCGAATGACGTCTGAACTGAGCCCTTTTTTTAATTATTTGAAGGTTTGGTATTTGTATTTTGGATTTTGATTTGTGTTGTTCAATTTGTTATTTCACACGCTGTTCTGGATCTTGCATCCTTATACTAATAACAAAATATGTGCTAAAGTTTTCAATAACTGGCTCCTCACTAACCTTAGTAAAATTCTTTTTTAAAAAAAAAAAAAAAAACCTAATAACTATTGAATAATTTTTTTATTTTTTCGATTTGTTTTATTATTGATTTGCTAGCTTGATTCGTTGCATAGAGCTTTGTTAATCTTTTTTTTTTAAATAACTCGTGTATAAATTTATCTTGGATTTTAAATTCTGATTGCTTTTGTCTTCTAATAATGTAGTTGGTCTCTTTCATTGAGCAATATTACAGTTGGAAAAACTACAGCGGACGGTAGAATAGCTCGGTTGCTTGTGCTTGGCTATCAAAAACCTCAAATAATTGGCATCAACTGACAAGATAATCTGCTTTTGCTTTTGTGAGGTCAGTCATTGTTTAAGATGTCAATAGACTGAAATGTGATAATTAAACCTATTTTCTTGCTAGACGTTATTATTCTTACGTGAAGGAGGTTTTTTAATTGCATGCTAGCATTGCTTCTCACCAGTAGTAGAGGAGTTTTTTTTTTTTTTTTGGGAATTTAAAACAGGGATAATTATATTTGAAAAAATTTTCGTACCTTTCTGGCCAGGCATGACTTAATGGAGAACACCTTCTTTAAAAGGAGGAGAGAACGACCAAAGAGGACATGGTGGAAACTATAAAATAGAACCTTGCTGAGGATAGTCTTAAATAGAGCATGACAGTGCAATGTTATCCATTTAGTTCATATTTGGTGCATAGAATGATTGATAGGATAGGATGATAATCATCTTATACCATGTTTGGTTTTTATCTAAAGAAAGGGATAGGATTACAAGGAGCATTAATCATCCTCTTGGCATAGGATGATTCAATCCCCTCAAAGTAGAGAGGATTATTTTTAATCCATGGGATTGAACTTACATGTCCTATTTTACCCTTAAAAATTACATCGATAATTTAAATTGTATAAAGTTTGATGAAGGATAATTTTGACCAATAAATAAAACTATTTTATCTTAATTATTGCACACATCAAACACAAGATAAGGTGACATTATTTAATTTAATCATATTCATAATATCTTCTTATCCTATCCTATTATAATCTTGTGCATCAAACACACTCTTAGTAGATTGTATATGGTAGGAAAAAGCTTAGTTTCTTGTCACTGTTGTCATTTTTACTTATACTTTAGTTAAACATAGTTTAAGAAAAGGAAGGGGAAGGGGATTCAAAGTTTTAGATTTTTTTGTTTTTTTTATGTTCAAAATATGGGAAAGACAAGAGAAAATAAGAGAAGAAATGTAATTACTTTGCCTTCTTACTTGCTGTATTGAGGATTCATTTCCAAGCAAGAAAATGTGTTTGACATAGGATTGCTTGATATTCAAAATCTCCTTTATTGCTTTTGAAAAGATAATGAAATCCGTAATTTACCCTCTATAAAGCAGCAAATCTGAGGTATACTATCTCTTCAAAAGTTGAAACGAAGCAGAGTCAGACTTTTGTTAAGTGGAAAGTCATTGCTTGCTGCTATTGTGGTCAGTATCGGCATTAAGCTAAATATTTTTGACCTATACAATTTAATATACACAGCTTTCAAGTTTTTGGTTTAAGCATAAGCTAGAAGCAGCAATGATATTTTTGACATTTGATTAGTTCAGTTATGTATTCCGCTCCTATGACAGTCTGTTAAGACGTTTAAATGCACTCATGTCCAGAAAAAGCTTTTGTTATGCTGAAAAGGGAAGCAACCGACTTTACTGGATCAAGTTTTGCAAGTCACCTGGATACTGCTTTCCAGGAAGCTGTAGATGCTGCTTCTTCTGCTTCATCATCATCATCTTCTTCGGGTGATGACTCTCAGGTGACACAAAATGAAGATGACCTAAATAATGGGAATGCTTCTAAACAATTGGTGCTTTATGATCCCACTGCTAATGGTACTGTTGATTCCACCCCTCCTGGACCTATTCAATGCCAACCTGCTGCAGGTCCAAGATTTTCATCATCAAGAGTATTGCCATCTGTTGGGGCTTTCACTGTCCAGTGTGCCAATTGTTTTAAATGGAGGCTCATACCAACAAAGGAAAAGTATGAAGAAATACGTGAACACATTTTAGAAAATCCCTTTGTTTGTGAAACAGCTCATGAATGGCGGCCTGATATCTCATGTGATGATCCAACGGATATCTCTCAAGATGGCAGCCGGCTTTGGGCAATTGATAAACCCAACATTGCTCAGCCTCCTCCAGGCTGGCAAAGGCTACTACGGATAAGAGGTGAAGGAAGTACCAAATTTGCAGACATGTATGTGTACCTTTATATTGAGGCAATTTTTAACCATTTTTCTTTGATTTTATTTTTTTTAATTCTCTTCTTTTTCTCCTTTCGTATTATTCTATTTTCTGATATCTGAATATCTTTGCTATCTTTTTGTGTATGTATGGAATATTCCCCTTGCATTGTTGAACTTTTTATCCCACTTCATTTCTAATCATACATTCACAAATATCTTGTACTTAGCCTCCTGGGAGCATACCCAGACCATTGTGGGTTTTCTTTCAATAGATGAATATTGTTTCCTGAGATTTCTCACATTATTGTAAATAGCCTTAAATCAGTTCCATCACTTGTATGCTCTTTTTTTTTTTTTGTTGAGAAACTCTTGCATGCTTTTAAACTATCTAAATTCTCCTATTTTCTTTTTTTTTTTTTTGGGGGGGGGGGGGGGGGTCATTGATTCACTAGAAAATTTTCCTTATAGAACTGATTTTTTTTAAATATATTATTTCTTTACTGTTATTCTTGTGATCATGATTTACTGTGGTTTTCATTCTTTACATATTTGATACCTGATATTTCTCTTTCTTTTCTTGGTGAGATCTCCTTTATTGGCATGCATTTCTTCTTTTAATTGTAGTAGAACAAGGGAGAAGATGAGGATTGCTTCTTCTTTCATTCTTTCAAACATTTTTGTTTGTTTCTTCAATCAGGAGCTAAGAGTTATGGTGATGTGTAGGACTCAGTATCTGTGACCGTAATTGTTAACCTGGTCGTGAGATGATCAATACACACTTTTTTTTTTTAAATAGTAAGCAGTGAAGAAAAAGTTGGTGTTAGAATGGTGCAATTCATTGCTAGCTGATTGATCAGCTGCTAGCTTAATTAGGAATTCATTCTAAGGTGACCACAGTCATTAGTTGCACAATGAACTATTGCTCTTTGATGATCCCCCCACCCAAGAATGGTAACTTAAAAAAAACTGGCTAATGGCTTTCAACTGAAAAATGAAAATGCATGTCTTTGTCCTTTTTTATAATTTTTTTCCTTTTCCATATTATGTATATCTAGGTTGAAATTGCATTCTGTAATGCAGATTTTTGTTAGATTTGAGGTCTAATTAAGGGTATATAATTCCAACAGCCATCAACTATTTTATAATTTGCTTTTTCTGTATATTTCAGCTACTATCAAGCACCATCAGGAAAGAGACTGCGCTCAATGGTGGAGGTGCAAAAGTACATAATGATGACTTAAGCTTTTGAATTTTTATTTCCTTTTTTTCTTGGGTACAATTGTATTACTGGATAAGTAGTTGACTGTCACCATTCTACCTCTCACACCTCTCCCAGTCCCAAGTACCTGAATCTCCTTTTTTCTTTTTTTTTTTGTTCAAGGTGTTTCTTTTTTTGCAGGTATTTGATTGAACATCCCGAGTATGCAACAGAAGGGGTGACTTTGTCTCGGTTTTCATTTCAGATTCCTAAGCCTTTACAGGAAGACTATGTGAGAAAGCGCCCTGCCCGCCAGACAGCCTCACATGATAATGCTAGTCCTCTTGAACCAGGTCAAGGTATGATGAAGACACTAATATGCTTTCTTTACAGACTAAAAGGGATTATTGCCCAAAATGAGTGTTTTAGCTTTGTAATTGATGGAGGATGTGGAAATATGCTAGTTGAGAGATTGAGTTATCTAGGATTTTGTTTTATATTTTATGAGTTTGATTGTAATCTAGTAATTTACATATATATTTTTTTTTATGTTATTTTATATTAATTAGAATTTTATTTAATCCCATAGGATAAAGTGTTAGGGTTACATTTGGTATTTTGCAGGTTTAGGGTTTAGCTTATTATCTATGTTATTTTAGGTTTTGATCAGGTTATGGATGATTGAATATTTGAGACATTTAAGTATTGAGATTTTATCCCACTTTTCTGGTTTTCTCCATAGATTGCCTATGCTTCTCCTTAATTGCTTCTATCTCTAATTTTACTTTAAATTTCTTGTATCTATCCCTTTTCCCTTGCTTGTTCAATATCAGTAACTGAAAACAAAATTCTGTCAATCTTAAGATGTAGCTTATTGCAACCCATTTAAAGGAAACACAGCCTGGAAACTTCAGTTATTTGCGCGTCTGCTTCTGTGGACTGGATCATCACTTTTGTTTTGGGAAGTATTTCCTGGTGGGACTTTTTCATAAAATCATAATACCATCTTATGTCATTCTGTGTAACAGGATGTGGAATGGTTTTAGTTGCTTCAGTCCCCCCATCCTCCCTAAATTTAAAAATAAAAAACTCTTCTACAGAAGAGAAATCATACTCTGCTTTTTTTTTTCTTTTGTTCGGATAATTGTACCATGCCTCATGCTTTGTATTTGATGCTTTCTTTTCTGGGTTTTGAGTCTTGATTGCATGCCTTAGTTTCCTTATCTATTATTGGTTTGACCCTGTTTCTATCCAAATTAATACCATCGTGGTAACTTTGAAATGGAAATATTGACAAGGAGATGAAAAATGAGATTATGGTCATTCCTTTTATTTCTTTGTAAGACATTGATCAATTTAAATAATTGATATTGTACCACTTATTATGATTTTGGGACGTACATTGGCAAATGGAATCTTTTTCTGCATGCTGGAGCAAATAATGCTGGCTAATAGAAGCCTTTTTTTTTTTTTTAATACAGTGAATCCACTAGCTTGGGCTGGTCCCGATGACAGAGAGTTGCAGCATGGCCGCCTAGCGCTTCCACCTCCTACCGTTGAGGCCTCTGTTTCTGATTCATCTAATCGGCCAGTGAAGAAGGCTAAGAGAACACCATCAGAACAGATGTACAGAAGTAATCCAGCGTCTAATCAGCGTGGTTGCAAGGTAGAAAAGGCTGATCGGTCGAGAAATACCAATTATGGTCAGTGAGACTTGGGACCAGATCATTTTTTTTCACCTTGTAACCATTTTTTGTTTGGTTTTGTTTTGGCTTTAGAATACTAGCTTATGTTTTCCATAGCAGGGTAGTTAAAAGTCTGGTAGTAGCCTTTTTTGTAAGGAGTGAATGGAGATGGGGTGTTATGGAGTTGCAGAGCTTGTTTGTCAGGAATATGTTAGAAAACTATATTTAAAAATATATGACATCATGTATTTGTTTATGACATTGGGCTATACCTAATGTTTTCTTTCAGTGTAATGCAAAGGTACTGATTTTGGCATCTTAAGACCAAATAGGCAAAGTGATGTGGAACTTAAAATAAGATTGGATGAATAAAAGCAGGTTTGATGAAGAAATCCAAGTTTGAAGATCATTATTCGGGTATCTCCCAGGTATGTATGTAGTAGATATTATTCAAGAATAATATCCTCATTGCTCTTTCATTATTTCTAAGTTTGAAGATGATATGAGTGGCCGGATGGGTTCTTATTCTTTTCTCTTTTCTAAAGGTGGAGCTCAGGTCTAGTGCTCAACTCTGTGTTTTTTTTTCTTAAACCTTTTCATCGCGTATAAATAATAATTATTATTATTATTATTATTATTATTTCATCAGTCCTATGATTCCATTCATCAATTAGCATTGCAATGGTTAAAACTTAGAATAAAGGCACCCTAAACTGTTGGCTAACCAACATCAGCCTGCAACTATATCCATGGTTTGAAATCAAAATTTGACTCATCCAAGTTGTAGAATGCCCAAGGAAAGAAGATTCTCCCTCATTGTATAATTCAACATTAATAAAAGATAAAGAAAGTAGACAAATTGTTACGGTATCAAAAACCTTCTCCTGTGAGACTTGCGTACAAAGGCTTTATACATATCTGATTCTTATACAATAAGGCTTTTGGTTCCACCCATAACTCAAACTTGTACATTTACATTTGCATTTCTTTTTAAAAGGAGAAAGCTTCATTTAAATATTAAGCAAGAACATCAAAAGGAACATGAGCTAGAACTATAGGACCTCCAGGTTCTGGTTAAAATATTACATTCCGTTTGAGCTACCGCCTGCCTGCTCGAAATGGTTTGCTTCACGCCTAATGTGCAATAAGCCACAACTAGAGAAATGGGAAAGCCAAAATCCTATATATCTTCAACAACAAGCAAGCCACCTCTCCTAAAACATATTCCATCATTCTTAATCTATGGAATCACTTCCAAACAATTTTGCCCACCACTCTTCTTTCATTCTTAATCGAGTCCAAAAAGAAATTCATAGGCATCCCTCAACGCCGGATTTGATATAGCTGCCTTTCTTGTTATCACACCAACTAAAATGGCCGACTACGGTCTCAGACAACAACATCCAAACCAATTTCGATGACAGCCGTGATCACTGCAGCATGTATATTTATTTTTAACCACATTTTCTGCTGGTCCAACCTATCTCCTATTCACAGAATGTGAACTTTTTAAAGTAGCTTAAAACTTCTGGATAGCTCTCCTACACATTCGGTGCAACGGTCAACAAACAAGTCACTAACAAACAGGATCATGCAGACATTTGTTCCTATTATTCCTGACAGTTCAATCTACAACCCAAAATTTTGCTGAATTATTCCCATTCTGTTGGTCAAGATACTGCTTGCGTAGCTCCATAACTTTGCTAGTCACTTGGAAATCAAAATTAATGGACAGAAAAGTAGTCCTCCAAACCTGCCAACTCCAGCTACTCCAATGAATACCTAATCCGGTTGAAGCTTACTAATCGTACGCCTGTAATGCATTGTATGTCCCCATATAGGTCCCATTCTTCTACACTTTCTGGGGAGTGATGACTATTCATAGCTATTATCTTGACATCAAAAAAAAGTTCGACCCAATGCTTTATTTTTATCCTAGTTGATCCTAATTCAACATTAAAATTATATTAATTTTTTAACAATAACCGAATATTTTTGTTTGTATCTATGCATATTTGATTCTATCTATAAATCTATTTTCTTCCCTATAAGTTCGAGTCTCAATAAAAATGCTAGTTTTTACTGTTCATATATTATGATATGAATATTTCATACCATTTGTTATGTATAGATGATGAGATTCCATTGATATAGAGCTAATTCCAATAGACTTATTGGAGGGTCTCATTGGCGTGCATCCGGTAAGAATTGAACTTACAAATTCACCAATTATGAGTTGGGCGCTTTAACCATTTAGCTAGGGATGCCTAGTGAGGATCCTCGTATATGGTGAATAATCAAATTCCAATTGAAATACAATCTTTAGGATAAATCAATGAATTTAGGAGGAATGAAAACCATATGAATAGGGGAGAAACCTCATGAAAGAAAATTAATGATTCGTATAAATCACTTAATAGCAAATGTCCTGAATAAATCCAATGAGTGACTAATAATCCTATCATACAAAAAAAAAAAAAAGAAATAACTATCATGCCCTTTTCTGATGAATCATATAGTCCTACGACTTCATCGACTAATAAGAATAAGGTTAAAAAATGAATTGTAATTACAATTGAAACGACCGAAAAGGATATATGAGTTAATATATGCTCTAAAGTTGAAAAAATCATAAGAATTCTGAAAAAAGCGAGGGTTTCTAGATTTTATGGAATGGAAATCAGGAATTAAATTCATTATAGGACTTATTCTATCTCTTTTAGAAGATACTATGCAGCCACTCAGACTCAAACTGAGATGCTCTAGCACTACTTCTTAAGAGCAGCATGTCTACCGATTGCACCATAGCGGCTAGCTTGAATGATCATAAGCCATATTTTATTCAATTGTTGAGATTGAAGGTGAAGAGGTTAATTCAATATAAAATGTAAAAGAAGCTTTTAATTTAAATTGATGAATAAAAATTTGTTAAAATAATAATTTAAAGGTTCAAAAATAGTCTTTATTATTTATCGTTTTATTTAATTATTTCGTCAACAGAGATTTTATAGTTTGTGTTTTCCTAAAAGAGAACTCCTCTATTGTAACTAAACTAACTAGTTGTAACTTCAATTCATAGATAGAATTCAACAAAAAAATGTTCTTTATCATTTTAATTTTTTAATGATTCATCTCTCATTCTTTTATATGATTTTTATGAATCTATAAAAAAAAAAATGCTTATCAATTGAATGAATAAATGAATGAAAAAACATTATTTTTAGAGATCACAATTTCAGCACCACATCCAATGATTTCAAAAGATTTATGTAATTTGCATAGCTTTGTATTAATCGTTAGGATTTTGCGTTTTAAGGATTTATCAAACCAACTAGATATTGGGTTGTACACGTTACGTTATATAAAAAGCGTTTCGATTCCTGTCATAATTGTACCATACTTCAAAAAAGTATTTCGAATTTCGAATTCTAAAAATATGTCTTGATTCATCTTCTTATACAAACATAGAATTTTTTTAGATCATTTTAAATTGATACATTATTTGTATATCCACTAAATTATAAAGGGAGTTTTCTCAATTGGGTTGAAAGCAAGGGAAGGATATACAGTAATTTAGAGAAATAATGATTTATAGAGTTACAAATTTTAAACTTCATTAATTAATTTCAATAACTCAGTTAAAACTCTTATATATATGTCCTCCTATAGCTGTAGCATATATATATAACTATTATTTAATTATTTAATGTTATAAATTGAATATTATAAAAATAATAAATTATTATAACACTAAGATACCAAATGGGACGATAAGAAAAATAAGAATTCCCACCCTGAAAATGAAAAAAAAAAAAAAAAGATAATAAAAAATGAAAACCTTTGTATTTGAGTTAAACTAATTCAGATTACTCCAAATTTATTTGTCGTACAACAAAACTTTTTGAATTACCCGTAAAAATTGATTTCACTAATGAAAATGCTTTCAACACCGCCCAATATCCTTTCTTTACCCAAACATTTTTTCGAATTCGTTTTTTTTGACGTAGAAGTATTTTTTCTTAACTACCACTTAAAAAAATAGTTATTCATTGCTACATCTATTTTTAAAATAAAATGATCAGTGTCTTTATGTCATTATTTATTTATTTTTATAAATTTTCTAGATTATAATTACCTATATACTACTATACAAAGTTCATAAAAAATAAATAGATAGGGAAAAATAACATAAAATGCTTCTACTATAAAACAAAAAAAATTGGTATAACCTTATTTTTATTTATATTCCATATGCTATCAAAAAAAAAAAAAAAGGAAGAATTTGGGGACTTCTATAGTAAGTTTACGTTTGTTAGCCTTATAATAAAGTCAACAAGTAGTAACCATTAGATTTATATAATTTTATATCAACCATTGATTAAATTTTAAAATAGAGGGGAAAAATGTACTTATCAAGTAATGAGATTGCAAAACAAAATGTATAAATCTTATATATAATTTAAATAATTTTCACTTTATGTAATAGTTTTTTATTTTCCACTTTATTACATGTTTATAAAATTATTTAAAAATAAAAACATAATAATTAAAAATATTCCTTTTTAAAAAATTTTAATATAATTGGCATCTTCGAACATAGCTAAAAAATATTATAAAAATCATTCTAAAGAAATTAAAAAAATATATTAACATAAAAATTCTTTCAAAGAAAAATTAACTTAAAAGAATTTATATTTTAAAATAAAAATAAAAAATTATTAACATAACGAAATGAGAGAAATAATAAAATTTATATAAATTTATGTTAAAATGGGATAGAAGTGTCTTAACACACTAAAAAACAAATCATAAAAATTTTAAACATAATTGTATGTAAGAAAAAACATTAGAAGAATTACTTTAATGTAAATAATTAAATTAATAATATAAATTTTAAATTAATCATTTTCTTATAAATATATAACAAAATAGTTAAAAATACATTCAAGGATAAAAATTAATGTAAAAGAAATGATATTTAAAAAAAAAATCAAAACCTTATTAACATAAGCATGTGAGAGAAATTGTAAAATTTATGTTATTTAGCATAAAATATATTAAAAGTGTTTTAATACCTAAAAAAGAATTATAATATTTCTAATTTTAATAAAATATAAGAACAACCGTAAAAAAAAATTATTGCAATGTAAATAACAAAGACAACAACATAAAATTTTAGTTAATTATTATTTATATAAATATATAAGGGGAATATTAAATAAATAAAAAAATATAGATAACACGAATATATGAGAGAAAATGTACCATTCATATCATATGATGTAAAATGAATAAGAAGTATCATAATACAAGAAGAAAGAATTATGATAATTCTGAATATATCAAAAAGTAAGAAAAAAACATAAAAATATGTTATTGTAATATAAATAATTATGATGGTAATATAAAATTTTAATTAATT